GATCTAAGTGGAAATTATTTTAGAATTTGAATCAGTTACTAATATTCAATACAATTAATAACTATGGCGCAAATTGGGTTGAAATGAGTGATTGATCTGCACTGTGATAAAACTAGCATCTGTGTATTGAGAACAGCGGATGGAAATAAATAGAAACATCCTAATTTACACAACCCAAAACATACCCCCAGTTTTACAGACTTTAAGACTAAAGTGCATGTTTGAGCTGTTTTAACTGAAAGCAACTTGCAGTGATGTACAGTATCTTAAAACATGTCAGTGGCGTGCCATTGTTTTGTCTCAAGATGCACACCAGTAATGTTTTTTTTCTACGGCTTGTTTATAAAATGACTTAAATGCCCTAAATGAACTAAGGCCTAATCATTTCTTAATCTGAGGTCTATCTGTGAAACCAGGTCATAAAATCAGTGAATCTGTTAAGTTAGTAGGCCTACTTGTTACTCTCCAACACTGTTTCTGTCTGCACTGTTGTTGCATTGTTGCTCTAAGTACATATAGGCTCCAACATGGCTGTTGGATCTTGATTCTTGTCAGCTGTCTGTGGATTTTCCCAAAAAATCTAAGTGCTATTTAATGGTAGGACATTTCCGTTTTTTTGTTCCACTGCTCAGTGTTTTTCTATGTAAACACACGCTTGATGAACGTCTTTGACATTTCGCTACATCTTGCTGCTCGTTCAGTGACTCGTGTGTGAGCTCTGTGTTTTCAACTAAAATAACTTATTTTTTACACGTAGCACAGCTCATCTGTCAGTTTCAAAACATTGGGCCGTTCCGATTTGATTTTAAATGCAAAAACAGTTCTGTCACGGTCCTTTGAAAGCAGAAATAAGGCATGACTGATGGCCTGTGTAAGTCGTGTTAAATATAAAATAGACAAGACAAAGTTCTTTGGTCTGCACAGGTTTACTCGCAGTGTGTTGCTGCTTACATTGTTACAAAACAGAAAGAGGATAGCAATTCATTATTTCTGGCACATCATAATCAGTTTAATTTGTGGGCACTGGGCATTATTTAGACAGCCGTATGAATGTGACTCCGAATGATAAGGCCATACCGCACGCATTTTCCCACAGTGGGTTCTTCTGTCATTATGGAGGAACTGTCTTTGTTGGGTTGTATCAATTATTTCCAGTAGTTCTTTTTCAGCTCTGTGGTGGTCTATTGTTTGGCTCAGACGGGGTCTTAAACAAGAGGGAGATACTCATACATTTTGCATGCTAAGAGACTTGATAGCTGATATATTCTTTCTCTCGCTTTCTGTTTTCCCTCATTCTCGATCTTTATTATTCAAAAGCATTCATTAATGAATTCTCATTAATACCTCTATTATTAGGGCCATTGTGCTCGGTTGATTTTAGACCCAACATTCAGAGAGTAACAGAATTGCTTTCTGAAAGAATGGTCTTGGAAAGTTGTAATTCTCTGTAAATAATTATAGAAATGCAGGGTATCTATATGTCTATCTGTCTTTCTGTCTGTAGGTGTGCTTTTTTGTGTTGCTTGTATCGATGAGCTGTTTAGATAAGTGTGCATAAATACATTTATTTTCAGTAGCGTCAATTCACTAAAGGTAAAGGGATCAACCGATTTAAAGGGCACCTATTATGCCCCTTTTCACAAGATGTAAAATAAGTCTCTGAAGTCCCCAGAGTGTGTGAAGTTTTAGCTCAAAATACCCAACAGATAATTTTTTACAGCATGTATAAATTGTCATTTTTTGGGGCTGAGAAAAACGCACCGTTTTAGTGTGTATCCCTTTAAATGCAAATGAGCTGGTGCTTCCGGCCCAGAGGGCGGAGCTTCACAAACTCGCGCTCTGTCAGGACAATCTCATCTCACAGAATGATAATATCAGAACAGAAACTCTCAGTAGCGGTGTTCATTTCGAGTCGGACAATAATGCTTACAGAGTCAGAGAATATATGTTCTATGGTAATAGAACAGGTATAGTGTAGTTTAATTACGGTTATAACTTATTTGCCATCTGCTTTTATCCACTACTAATACAAGCCTGCTGTAGCGGACACCGTCCGAATGATGGCCAAAAATATACTGATGAGTTTAATGAAGTTTATTGTACATCACACAAAAGATGAAGCGTCAGTTTTACTCCAGGAAATCACCGTAAGAGCTGAATAAACAGTATAAGAAGTGCGCATTAAAGTCTTATCCATAAACTCTCTCTCCCTCCCTTTCATTATCATCAACATACACAGCGAATTACACAAAACACTTGTTACAACTAACAGTAAACAAATATATACACACCTTTTCAGGGGGTGCTTAATAAACTGGTAAACTTTATATCCGTAAAACGACTCTGTAATAAAGTGTGCGCTTTCACTTTCATTTCTGCCGTGATCATTCTTGCATCCAACAACAAAACAGCTTAAAAGACATTCTTGTCTACAGCTGCTCCAGCGTCAAAACAATGTTGGACTGTGTACAGCTCACTCAGGGTGGGTCTACTACGCTCATACGGAAGTGTCAGTCAAGAGTTGTGGGCGGGGCTTGTGGAAATGTACGTCTCATTGCCCCGAATCTGAGAACGTCTTGTTCTGAGACAGTGCTTATGATTTATGGGGATTAAAAAAAAAAAAACACGTGGTGGATTTTTTATCATTATAGGGTGGTTGTGTACACTCTGCCAACACACATTTATGTTCAAACATTTATGAATTTTGCATAATAGGTGCCCTTTAAAAATCTAAATAAAAAATAATCACATAGCTTTAGAAATAACCTGGCAGATAAGCAGCTGCTAATATACAGCATGAATGAATCTAAAAAATAACACAAAAAGTCAGCTCTTCCCCTACGATTCTACAAAAGCAAGCAATGAAGGTGAAATAGAGATCCCCTAAATTGGTGAAGTCCATGCTACACAAAATGATTTAAAAATCTGTAAGATTCAATGTGAAAACCTTTGCTCTACTCTAATTTTTGCTCTATTTTTTCATTTTATTAGCACTTCTTGGGAAACCAAGGTATGGCAGCTGTCATACTTAATGAATACTCCTCCTAAAGACTCATTTTCACCAGCCATTCCTTCACTTTTTATCATATTGATAAACAAATGATACCTATACCACCTAATGAGGAGCAATTTTTGTCTAATACTAAATAGCATATTACATTTCCCTGTTATCACATCCCTTTATCACATCTCATTATAAGAGACAGTGGGGTCGTATACTATATATATCCCCCCTTTTTTTTTTTTTACCAAAATTGTGCTTGATCGGTGAACTGCTCTGAAACCGACCTGGTATTTATGCTTGCTGAACATTGATTTAACTGCTTGCATAATCTGCCCACAAATTTACATAGCACATCATAGTGTTTGAGGCTTAGCAGTTTCTGATTAGGGGTCTTTATGCAATCACAAGCTGTTTTACTGCAATGTTGGAAGTTAAAACAATTATTAGTAAGCTTATAGTAAGCAATCCCTATGCTCCTGATTTGAGCAGATCCTAGTTTGAGACCAGCAGTTTTAGGGATTGATATTGATTTTTTTTTTTTTTTTTTGTGGTGGAAAGATGCAGAATGGTTTAAGATTAAGGCACTGGCTGTGGTATCAGTGAATCTAATATGATTTTCAGTGTCAAGACAAATATTTGTTCCTCATTAGCCGATTTTAAAGGGTTAGTTCACCAAAATCTATTACTCTTTCTAAACCCATAAGACTTTCATCCATCTTCAGAAAACAATTTAAGATATTTTTAATAAAATCGGACAGATTTCTGTCCCTCAATTGAAAGCTCAAACGTACTTGCTTGGCGTGCGAGAACCAATAAGGTTTGTTTTCTCGCATCAAGTACGGTTGAGCTTACCAAACCGTTTACAATAAGTGATTTATGTATGTTTGCTGATAAATGTTTATAAGTGAATAAAGCCTAAATAAAGTCTGTCATCATATAAATTGATTGTTTCTCTTCAGAAAATGTTCTCTTCATGAATGTTTTGAACTGTTGGTGTTTTGGGTGAATAGACTTTCAATGGATGGAGAGAAATCTTTAAATTTTATTAAAAATATCTTCCTTTTGGTTTTGAAGATGAACCCTTGAGTCTTAAGGGTTGGGAACGACATTAGAGTGAGTAATTGATGACACAATCGATTAAAAATTATGCTTTCGATAAAACTTAGCTGTCTCTGCAGTATAATTTTTTATATATTCTGACATACTACTGACATTGTAACAATAGCTGGTTAAAAAATCTGCAAATATCCTTTTAGTATAATTTCATTTTGATTAAAAAGAGGATAATCTATTAAGGATGGGATATCTAAAATTGTAATATCTTGGATATTTAGTCACTGCTAAGTTTCTCAAAAATAACACTTAAATATCTTTCAAAATTCAATATCATAAAGCAAACTTTGCTGAATCTTGTGCTAGTTCCTTGTAAACACTTCAAAGTGATAAAATTGCGCACCCTGACACCTGACAATTGTGTAGAAGCCAGCCTTTCATATTGAAACATGTGATTTTGTCAGATAATGCCGTTTATGCATGTAGTATGCATCAGACAGTCAGTGAATGGTTTGTGGTCATGTTTTGTAATGGCTGAAACTAGGATCACAATGACTTCAAGAGTTGCATCGCTGCTTTTAGTGGCCTGTTGGAACAACAAACATGTTTTGGTAATCTTTCAAACTGCTCTGAGACACTGTAGCCCTCGACTCCTTCTGTAGCTTCAAGATGAAATCCAACAGAAGCCTGTGACATATTTGTTTCTACGCTTTGGATGGAGCAAGTTATTTCAGATGTGTTGAAGTTTTAAATTCTTGTCAAGTGAGTTTCTTGAGCCAGTGGCAGCTATAATTACACTTACAATGTTTTTTACAGATCAAAGATGAATTATTCATTTGTTGATGCGAATGTCTCAATACAGATAAGAGTGTGGTACTTCAGACTTTGATTCTTCTCGGGATCAAATAGGTCTGACTATGTTTGTTTCTGTGCCCGCAGGTCCGAGGCAGTATGAACCAGACTGATGTTCTGTCTCCATGCCAACTGAAGCTTCAGGTCGAGGTACACCTAAACTCTCCTGTCAGAAGGTGACCTCTCTGCCCCAATCCAATCTCTACAGGGTGAGTGACCAGATTATTGCACATACACAGTGACAGCACTGTTGAAATGCATTTTTCTTTATTCATAAGCTAACTTTTTCTTGCATAAGTTTATTCTGCTGTTGTGAAATTGCAGAATATGTGAGCTTTTTCAAATGGTAGTGCAAGGAATTTGATGGGGAATCATGAAGAAAACTCATTCTGATGCCTGTTTGAGTTCAGACAACTCACTTTGTGCTGATTATTACAGAAAGGCCATTAAAGGTCATATAAGTTCGATGAAAGGAAATGTCAGTGAGAGAGACTTTTTGTAGAATAATTCAATCTTCATGTTTTTTAAACCTCTCTTTGAGTCACCCAGTGTGTCTTTCCATGTATATTTATGTAGAGAAATGCATTGTTTTGTCATATTTACTCATAATAAGTAGAGATGCACCGATTACAATTTTCTAGGCTGATTCCGATTTCCGATTTTTCAGAGTTTGACCTGCCGATACCGATTTTAGCCGATTCCGATTTCATTTTTTCTAACCACTTTACAGCACACACAAATATTTATTTTCTATCTTCTCTTTAATAGAACATTTTGCATAGAACTTAGATTTTTTTTTTTTTGGTGTGAGAAATTCACACACATCTAAAGTGCAGTGTTATGGAAGAACCATTTCTTTCTTTTTACATCCAATATCTAACTAAAAAAATGTCATATATTTAGCAAACTAAACTTCTGTATGAAAACAGGTAATGGCAATAAAATAATATATAAATAACAAATAAAAAATCAAATAAATATAGCCTTGCAGTATAAAGATATTTCTCAAAACACACACACACACACACACGCGCCTATTGCAATCACTTGAACATCAATGGCAAGTTTTATTTCTCAAACTGTCAAACAGTTCTTTCATCTGACATGTCCAGCCAGGCTAAACAAGCGCTAACCTCGGGCAAGTGGTACAGTGGGGAAACGATTGTGAAATAATAAAAAGTTTAAACTATAAACTGTAAAACGTTACTATAAATATTTTTGAGTATTCATTTTCTTTTCTGACATACTCCAGTTCTTGTTAAAACACACAAGACATGCAAATTCTGGCACTTTTTGGGTGAAATCATTTATTTTGTCCAACAAAAGTATGCTTTCACTTTAATTGAGCGCGAGCAGAATAGACTCTGCGCCGAAACCCGCAATTCACGGCTGCTCACGCGACGGTCCTGCTCACGTGCTGCTCCCGGTGTGAATGCACTCATTGATTAACATGCACGGCGGAAAAAACAACAACAAAAAAACGTGCTGCTCACGCTTGCGGTGTGAAACGGCCGTAATTCACGAGGTTTCCTACATGTGCGTTCCGTGTGCACGTGTGATGCTGATGTTGTGCAAACGATGTTAATCATGCGGCGCCCGAGTGCATTTGACCGGCATATAATCGGCATACGTCAGACTGACCGGCCGGTCGCCGGTCATGGCCGATCACGTGAAAATCGGCCGATTCCGATCACCAGCCGATCAATCGGTGCATCTCTAATAATAAGTCATTTTGTCATAAGTATACTTGTAAATTGTACAAAGTAAATTTGGACAAAAATTGAGCTACATAAAAAAAATTGACTGAAAATAAATGATTTTTTTTATAGACTGCAATGACATTTTAAAGAAAATAAACTTTTCAGCAAATACATTTTTCAAAAGAAAGTTGGCTATAAAACAGATTTAAATAGTAAAACAATAGATATAGGGCCCTATCTTGCACTCAGCGAAATTGACTTTGTACATCGACGCATGTATCATTCGTATTTTGCACCCGCGCAAAGCGGCCTTTTCCCTCCACAGACGCACGTCGGTAAACTAGGAAATGAACTTGCGCTCCCTGGGCGGGTCGGCGCAAAAAGGAGGCGTGTTTCGGCGCAAACATTCCCTAGTGCTATTTTGCAGTTCCAGAAAACAATTGCGCCACTGACCAGAAAAAACCTAGTCTAAAGTCAGTGGCGCGTTGTTCATAATGCTATTTTAAGCGCGCATGCTTGGCCATAATGTAGCGGGTGCACAACGCGCATACACTTTGATTCTCTCATCAACACAGATGCAGCAGTTTTTATTTTTGCAAATCATACATTATAACAAATAAAAATATTAACACATGAGGGAAATCATTGTGGTGTCCATGAAGATGTAAAAAAATGTAGTTTTTTTCCTCCCACGCCTGTTTAAGCGACTCTGATTTGGGTGGGTTTCTCCTATCCCCATACAACGTCACTTCTCTGTCTTTCACGGTCCTGACAAGAACGTCGTCCTCCTCGGCTGTGAACCGCTCCTGGCGCGCGCCTGGTAAATCCGCCGTTATAATAGCAATCCGCCATGCAACATGCGCACCTGCTCTTAAAGGGAATGTGAGATGACGCTCTGATTGGTTTATTTCACGTTACGCCCAAACCACACCTATGAATAATGAAGCTACTTCAGACCAACCCCTTTTAGATTTACGCCAGGCGCAAGAGGCATTTATCCCGCCGGGAAAATAGCAACAGCGCCGGGATCCGCCCACAAAGTTACTTGCGCTTTGCGCTTTGCCACTTGCGTTTCAGATCGTTAAAATAGGGCCCATAGTGTATAAAACAAACGCATTCAGAAACTTTTCTTTAAAGATTTTTCCAGAATTTTTTTTGTCAAACTTTTGATCATGTTCATAGTTAATATGAACTACACCTGTGGGAAGTTGAGGGAAACATACTTCATACACTACTGTTGAAAATTTTGCGGTATGCAAGATTAATGTGTTTGAAAAAAGTCTGTTGTGCTCAGCATGGCTGCATTTATTTAATCAAAAAATGCAGTAAAAACAGTAATATTGTGAAATATTGTCACAGTTTAAAATAACTATTTTGTTATTTGTTTTCTATTTTAATTTTCAAATGTAATTTATTCCTGTGATGGCAAAACTATTACTCCAGTCTTCAGTGTCCCATGATTCTTCAGAAATAATTTGAATATGCTGATTTGGTGCATGTTCATAAAAATGTTCTTATTATAAATGTTGAAAACAGTTGTGCTGCTTAATTTTTTTTTTTGTGAAACCGTGAAACATTTGATATGATACGTGATACATTCAGGATTCTTTGATAAATAGAAAGGTCAAAAGAACAGCATTTATTTGAAATAGAAATCTTTTGTAACCGTTTTCTTTTCACCTAATTCTACTGTAAATGTTTTGCTATCCCTTTTCATCAATTTAATGCATCCTTGCTGAATAAAAGCACCCATTCCTTTAAAAAACAAATCTTATTGACCTCAAACATTTGACAGTAGTGTATATACAGTAAAAATTACTTTGACACCAGTTGTTTAAAGTAACAGAATCTTTAAATGGATCAGAAAAGGAATTTGTTTCGCTTTAAGCTTAATTTGTTTGCACTTCTGCTTAGTTTGATGTTTTGTTATAAAATGCAATGGTATTCATGCATTTGTAGGCATAACTAAATTGTCCAAATACTTTTTGAGGCCACTGTTGCCTTTCTTTGTATCTGTACCTGGTTCTAATATGTTCAGGAAAAGCATACGGTAACATTAATGTGTAATTGTATTCAATTCCACAGTACACTTTCAGAACAAAAAGGTATAAAAGCTGTCTCTGGGGTGGTACCTTTTCAAAAGGAAATATATTTACCATTTAGGTACTAATATACACTGTAGGCTTTAAGCTACTAATATTCACCCTTTAGGGCTCAATAAGGTACAAAGGTGTACCTTTTTTTTCCTGAGAGTCAGAAAGGTCTGTCTCTCTCTCTCTCTCTCTCTCTCTCTCTCTCTCGGAGTGCATGCTGGGAGTTTGTGAGTGTGAGTGTGAGCGTGAGTGGTGACTCGTGCTTGTTTTTTTTTTCTATCTTTTTTTTTCCTCTTTTTCTTTTTTGTGTATGGTTTAGAAGTTTTAGTGTTGTAGGTGGGGTGTTTTTTTTTTTGGTGTGTGAGGAACATGGCGGTTCCAGGTGCACAGGGGTTGAGTTCACTCACGCGTCGTCACGGGGTAAAAGTGGCGTCTACAGTGAGTGTGGAGAACTGTTGTTTGGCTGTGGGGGAAATTGTGGGGTATGAAAACATAATGTCTGCCTCGAGAATGAATAGTGCTATTGTTATTTTTTTTAATACAGTAGAAAAGGCAAATGAGGTAGTTCAGAGGGGAATTATTCTCGACGGTGTTCTTACTCCCGTCTTGCCCCTTTCATTGCCGTCTAAAAGAGTCACCCTATCGAATGTCCCGCCGTTTGTTAGTGATGTTGTTTTGACACAGGCTCTATCTCGCTACGGAAAATTAGTCTCCTCGATTAAGAAGATTCCGATTGGCCGCGTTTCTCCTTTACTGAAGCATGTTGTGTCTTTCAGACGCTCAGTTTACATGGTTGTAAACAACGACGCTGATCTAGATCTTGCGTTGAATTTTCGAGTGGATGAGTTTGATTATGTGGTTTACATCACCACTGATAAAATCAAATGTTTCGGCTGTGGTAAAGTCGGTCACTTGGTTCGAACTTGTCCTAGCAAACAAGAAGAGGACAATCGTTTGGCTGACACTGAAGGTGTAGCTAACGTCACCGTGCAGCCGGTCGGTGAGACCGGTGAGGCCGGTGAAGCCTCAGCCGAGGCGGAATCAGCGGTGGCGCCACTGGCGCGGGCGAGTGAGCCTGATGGAGATCAACGCGCTGGGACTTCGAAGGATGATGTTTCAGTGGAGGAGGAAACCGAAATTGAAAAAGTTGTTGTAAACGAGGAAGACAGAGGTGAGTCAAGCGATAAAACAGAAACAGACATTGTTATGCGGGATGTTCGGGAGGTTGACAGTAGGCCCAATGAATTTGTTTCAGAACAAACAGTATTTAAAGTGCCATTAAAAAGGAAGAAGTCAGATACAGCTCATAGACAACAAAAGAAATTAGATCTTGAAGATGTTGCTGATCAGGTTGATTCAGAGAGTGACAGTGAATTATCTGACTCAAGTGTTACTTTGTCACAAAGTGAGTTTTCC